CATAAATTACCACAAGTAGTTGATGTGTAGACTATAGCGTACGGTCCCACTTAGCAAATACAAACACAATGAAAACGTATTATTTGTTAGCACTTTTCGCCGTTGCAGTGCCGGTAGGTTTAAGTTATAAATTTTATAAATTTTTATGAAATATTTAAATAAAATTGTACATATATTAATTATGCAATTCGTATTACAGTATGTGGCCGCATCTTATGGACCTGCACCCAATCCCGGTTACGTCTCAAACTTACCAGGAGGTGCAAGCAATTTGGATGATCTTGTACAAGCTGCCACTGGTGGATCACAGCAATCAGTCAGTTCAATCACAAAACCAGCTGAAGTGCAACCCACATTAGTTGAACAAGCTCGTCTAAATAACGCACAAGCTCAATTGCATGCTTTGAATGCCAACCCCACATATAAAAATATGCGTGACTCAGATGCTATTGCTGAATCCTTGGCTACAAATAACTTGGCTTCAAACATCCGTCGCGGAAATATTAACCTTGTTGCACCAAATATTGTTGATCAAGGTATCTTCCGTTCCGTTTTGGTACCATCTGGTCCAAATAACCATAATGTAATTGCTACCCAACCATTGCCACCAATTGTTGTCAACCAACCAGGTGCTCCACCACAACAAGTTAGCAGTGGTCCACCAGCTGTTGTCAAGGCTGCACCAGTCATCTACAAAATTAAGCCATCTGTCATCTATCAACAAGAAATTATTAACAAAGTGCCAACTCCACTCAGCTTGAACCCAGTCTACGTTAAAGTATACAAACCAGGCAAGAAAATCGACACCCCTGTTGCTCCAGTTGTGCAACCAGTACATAACTATGCTGCTCCCAATTATGGTGCTGCTTCCAGTTCTGCTTCATCAGCTAGCGATAGCTATGCTAACCAAGCTCAATACGCTCCTCAAGCTCCAGCCTATGCTCCACCAACTTACTAATTTGATAATAGCTCAAATTATAAAAATTGAGGGATGTCTTTATAAAATGGCTTCATTTTGCACATAAAATTTTATAATAATTTTTATACAATAAATAATTTAAAAAAAATTAAATATTATCTCTATTTTAATATGAACATTAGGCTTAAGTTAATTAAATATATACTTGTATTCAAATATTCGTATATATAAAAGAATATAAAGTCAGGTTAGAAACCTTTACATAGAGAAAATATTACTGGATATACGATGCAGTTAACATAACATAGAACATATATAAGTTAGTATTATATATATTCATATCATATTATATATATTAGTATATAAGAAAGACATTAAATATTTATTTACCAGACATTAGATCAAAAAAAAAAAATAATTGACAGGCTCAAGAAAAAAAATATCTTTGATGATGATTCAACTATATGATTAATAGAAAGCTTAATCGCGTGCTGAATACAAACCTAGCATTTCCAACAAAAGCCGTGTTTTAGTCAGTACCAAGTCAGTAAATTACCAGTCTTATATCATATACCATATATATCATATTTCCATCCATGACATCAGGACTAAAGGCAATATAGTGCAGATCAGATTAGATCAGTATAGATGAGCTGTTTCAATTATTATATATATCCTGTTTGTTTCACTATTAATTGGCACACAATTTTTTTTCTTAAAATAATACAAGTGAATTCCTAAAATATTATCCACTATAATTCACACTAAATAGGTACATTAGTAGTAATGAGAAAACACCTTGAATATTTGCTTATTAAAAAAAGAATACATTATAGTTTATTTTAGAATAAATAATTTAGAAATCGAATAATCAAGTTAAGCGTTGAATATTTTTTCATAGTTACCTTACAATACTTAACACAAATTAAGTTGTATATCAAAATATTCTGAATTGTTAACAATCTCCTAGTCAAAATATAATACTATATTATGAAACTATGTATAAGTTAAGATATAAGATATATATATAAGTTAAGCATCTGAATTACAGTATATAATTTTAGAATTAATTATATACTTATTCAAGTAGGCTTTGGTATGTAAGGCCGCCCTTTCCATCTAACCTCACCTATATATCTATTTATATGTACTCATTAGTAATAAACTGATATACAATTATACTTATTTCTTTATATTATAAATTTATATTTATGTTAATATATATTTTTATTATAATAATAATTTATATTTATTTAAATTTTTATTATAATTATAGTTTATATAATTATTTATATTCTTATTATAATTTATATATTAATTAATTATATTATAATTATTTTAACCAAGTCACTGTTTATAATTTTATTCTTATAATTTCTTAATATTATATATTTAAAGAATATTTTAAGAAATTCCATTTTTAAGTTAATAAAAGAGACTACTTCCCGATGAAGTCTACGATTAATCTTAATTAACACCTTCTTTAAAAATTAGTAGATCTACATATTTATACATTTTATAATAACAAAAACAATTGATTTTATTTCAAATAATTAAATTTTGTAATAAAAGTTATTTAAATATAATTAATAATAAAAATATATGTAAGTTAAAGTGATTAAAATGATATTTAATCGATTTGCTCGTATTGTCATATCAAGAAGAAAATCTCTAATATAATATAGGATCTCAAGCGATACTGAACTATAGGACGACATAACACAGGGCTGTGCTTGTCTAATCAGAACTAATATAAATTATTTTTGCTACTGCCCGATGGCGAGACAGTTAAGCGTCTATCATGTTATTGTCTGAGCTTAGCTATATTCAATCTCCAGTCTGGAAATCCCCCATATACTTGAGTTTATCAATACGTGTGACTATTAAAAACAACTATATAGTTAATTAGGTAGATTCCACTTTTTCTATTTACCTACCACTTCTGTTAGAGATTGACAGTCCATTAGGACTATAGAATAACAACCATATATATATATATGAATTAAGTTTTTAATAAGGTGTACATCATAAAGTTAAATAGTGTTAAATAAATAAATTTAACACCAGTTAAATTAAGTTAAATAGTTCCTTCTATTTTGTTAATTTATAAATTGGAAACCACATGTTTCATAAGTCATCAATGCACAATATTTTGTATCTTAAAAATATGTAAGGAATATCCAAAAAAAAAAGGCGCAGTATCTTTGACATATAAGGAAATTTATAAAATAATTGCATATTGAAGTAAAATACTATTCTATAATAATATATTAATAAGAAAACTTTTAAAATAATCTCTTTAAAGTCTGATAAACCAAATTCGATATCCAAAATGTGCAGATTTATCGACACAAATATTCTATATAGCAAGATACCTTATGATGAAATGGTGGTTAGGAAGTATAGAATATTCATAAACAACAAAGATTAGATTGTGGGACTCTAAATCGTGGCAGTAGAGAAAATAAATGACAAGACTACATCTTAAGATAGTTTAAATCAAAAACATGCATATGTTTATATCAGAAGTACGTATCTTGGCAACAATTTGAAATGAAAGCATTTAAAGAATATAACAGCTCTAACCGGTAAAAATGTTGTACCCACATAAATGTCACGTAATCGCAAACTCTCACAAAAGATTTGCGGAATTAATTACATAGGTGAATGCAAACATATTTAAAGAATTGATGCTTACCGAAATACAACAGAAGTAACAGTTGCCTTGAGAAAGTAGCACAGCAGCATAAAAGCGTACTAACTCAGAAGCTAAACAAATCTAACCTGCTGAAAAAATAAGAATCTATAGATTCTCCTAAACAAACATGAATCGTTTCAACTACTTAATAGCGCTTACAGTTGCCTTAGCTGTACGTATAGTATAAACTGAACTTTTAATAATATTAAAATTTTAATTTATTAAATTTTTTTTATTTCATTTTTTAGGCAATTGGCCCAGTATATAGTAGCTATGGTGCTCAAGTGCCAGCCGTTGAACCCAGCTATGCTGCTCCTGTTGCATATGGTGTACCTAACAAAAATGTACCATACTCTCCTGCCAATACACGCGGTAACACTGTTACCTCATCGATTACTTATCCACAAAACAAGGGTGAAATTTTAATTCATCGTCCAGCCGCCATCATTGTTAAACGTCCACCAACCAAAGTGTTGGTAAATCATCCCCCACTAGTAGTCAGACCAGCTCCAGTTGTATTACACAAACCACCAGCAGTTGTATTGCGCAAGGTTCTCGTCAAACATCACCCACGCCCAGTCAAAGTAGAACCTGTATACGTTAATGTTGTCAAACCACCAGCAGAAAAATATTTCGTCAATGAGAAACAACAACAATTGGCTGGTGCTCAATTACCCTCAGTTCCAGTTGGATTCGCACCCATCGGTAATCTCCCAGCAAGTGCTGCAGCCAGCGCTGATGGTAGTTTGAGCTCAGGCTTAGCCGGTTTATCAGGTCTTGGTAATTCTCCTGCTGCTGCTGCAGCTGGTCCTGCTGGCGCTTCTGCTAATACTGGAGGTTATCAACTTTTACCAGGCAGCCACGGTCTTGCTAGTTTAGCTGGTATTACTGGTCAAGGTGGTTATGCTCCATCTCCATATGGTGCACCAAACTACTAAACAACATCTCATAGGTTGTTGTAATTAATTACAACTTAAAAAATTCCTACGAAAAGGCGATTTGTCTTTTTATTTAACTGACTAAGATATTTTTACATACTTTATACTGCGCGTTTACCGCAAATAAAACAATTTTTAAAAAAAATATTTATTTTATTATTTTAAGCACACGCATATAATATTATATATAGTAAAAATAGTGAAAGGCATACTCAGAATTTTATTAAAAAGTGATTGATTGATACTAACAGAACTTTTCCAGCAAATAAAACGATTAATTTAATTGAAAATTGACTTAGAAATATAATTACCTATAATAATGACTAATTAAATTACCATTACAAATATTTTATCAGAAGATGCTATGGACCCTAGTCATAGTATCGCTAACAATAGAATATTTTTAAAACCAATTACCCTATACAAAAATATATAAATCAAATTTGGTCATTAAAACAATAAATTAAATTATAATTAAAAAGAATCCATAATAATTAAAGTGAGCAGATATAGAATGAGGTGTTTCATGAGATCACATATTTCTCCGGTAGATATATAAAGAATAATCAGATGTATTATACAGGATTTGTTGTTAAGCGATTAATTTATAAAATATGATATTAAAAAAATATTTTAAAATTTTATTTTTTTATATTTAGAGACTGAAATAAACCAAAAATAAAAACAATATATAAATAGCTATAGCATAAGTTCTAAAACTTATGAGAGGTTTGAACTTACAAATTTGATACACACACTAGTCACGAAGTATAGGTATAGACACGAAACACTGAAGAACCAATAAATTTTAGCTGCATATACGCTATACAAATAAGTTTCTAAATATTGGGAAAAAAATTTGTTATAAAAACCACGACACGATGGAAACTTTTCTTTCAGATATCCTTGAATGATATTGAACAAACATCTATTGAAGAGAGCACTCTATTGAAGCAGCATTCCTATTGAAAACCCAATCCTATTGAACACACACAATATGCACCCGTTAAAGGAACATTTTTGTTGAACGAACACAAGTGTTGAAGGGAGACCACTGTTCAAAGACATCCCTCTTAAACCACCATCCTTAATGAACAGACTGATCTGTTGAACGGACGCTTCTCTTGAGATATAGCCGCGTTGAAGGAACATTTTCGTTGAAGGTATACTACTGTTGAAGGAACACCGCTGTTAAACGAACATCTTTTGAAATGCTACCTCTATTGGATAAACACCACTTTTGAAGGTACAATCCTATTAAACGAAAACCTATTGAAGGGATACCTCTATTGAAGGATTGAATGGATACCTATATTAGAGGGACATCTCTATTGGAGGGGCACTTCTATTGGAGGGACACACCTTTTAAAGGAATACACCTATTGAAGCGAAACCCTTACTTAAGGGACAACTCTATTGAAAGGACACATCTATTGATGAGACGGTAAACGAAAAACTCCTATTGAAGGGACACCTATATTAAACAAATACCACTATTGGACCACTTTTGAGTACCTCTGCTGAGCGGACGTACAAAAATTTGGAATGGATACCCCTATTGATGAAACACCTCTGATAAATGGACTCCGTTTCTGAAGGGACCCCCGTGTTGAAGACACACCCTGTTGATGGGAAACCTAGTTGATGGCACACCCAGTTGAACTGACAGTTCGATGAAAATGATAACCCTTTTAAAGAATACCTCTTTAAAACAGATTTGCTTGTTGGTTTAACTATGTTTCTAAGACTACATTTATATTTATTTGGATAAACTTAAAACTTTTTGATTGACAAAAACCTCTCCAAAAAAGATGCAAGTTGTGTGATACTGAATATCAGCGTATTTTATTTCTTATTAACACATGATGGTAATCTCTCCGAAATGGGAACTAAAACATGAATAGTATAAAAGGAAAATTCTGATTTATGTTTAGGGCTGTTACTAGAACTTTGTGGTAGTGGCGAAGTGGACAAACTTCGACTTATGCGACAGTTCTAAATAGTGCTAGTTCTAGTTAGTTCTAATTCTATAAAAATTAATCTACTAATTTCAATTTCCTAGAAATTTGCTACGTAACCCTAATCATTTGTGAGAACAATAGAGAGTTGAGAGTTAAGATCTTATGTACTATATAAATACATCATATACATCATTGAAAAATCATAATTCATAATGAATAAAATACAATTTAAATGATAAAACAATGTTAGTTTAGCATGCAATTTTATAAAAATGTAGGTCACCCACAAAATGCAAGACAATCGCAATCGATTGTTGCTTTTGGGCGAACACATAAAAAACTTTTTATAAATTGCTTTACATTATAAATTGCTGAGCGCTTGTTCGTTTGTGCTGAAGTTTTAAATTGTACTAATATAAATTTAAAAAAAATTTATTTAAACTTTTATCGTGTAATTAATATATTCTTAAAATTCTTTTTTGGTATCGTTAACAAATTTTATGTATTCTTCTCAAGGTATTAACGTTAAAATCGGTTGAAAAGAAGTGTTACAAGTTCAAAACTAAATAAAAAATATTAACCAACTTTTTTTCACAATATGAAAAACTTTACAGCTTTTATAATTGTAATTATGTTATTATTAATTAATATTTACGCAAATGTGAGTTTCAATTTTTAATTTGAATATAATTAATAATAATTATTTCATATACTAAATTTTCTAATATGTTCCAGTCTACAGAAGCCTCTATGTACTCCAGTACTGGTAGTACTAATGCTATTAAAGAAGTAAATCGTGTTAAGAGAGAAGATAAGATAAAGCCACAAAGTTTCTTAGATCTAATATTCAGCGTGATTGATACATTACAAGCGAGCAGACGAAAGACACGCGGAAAGCGTCACAAACCTAATAACACTTAACTACTAATTATTTAAAACATATTCATTTCACAAATTCTTATAGCACCATTAATTCAAATTTCAAATAAAAATATCATAAAATTAATTATTTAAGCTAGATGCAAACTTTTATTTCTAAGCATTAAGCAGTTATTTATATTTTAAGTGTAATTTACTAAGAGTACTCAAATATGTTTTGACTTGAGATCAATAACAGACTTTAGAACACGGTAGTAAAGCTATGTTTAGTGGAAATCACGTTTTCAGCAACTTATTTTCGGTGTTGTTTTTATACAAAATTAATCTCGTGCGATCACTAGTGTTATGCCCAAATATCGGTCAAAATGTTATGAACACACTTACATGTCATGTCCACCTCTTGAGACAATTTTTTAAGACTTATACGAAATCGCATTATAACACAATTTACAGAAAAAATATAATGGCGATACATTCATATATGTTGTCTGATTTTCAAATCATAAATTCAAATAACTTCTACACAATATCTACTATTGGAAATTCAATTCACTATGTATCACGCCCCTTTGATACATCAAGTCTATTTTGATAACTTTTTATTCATAAATAACATCATCATCCTTACTACATACAACTTTATAATTATTACGATTCTATGTATATTCTAATAACAAGACTAAATGAATCGGATATCAATAAACTTTGTCACTTAGAACTTGCAGGTACTATACACAAGTGCCGCAATTTTCTTAATTACATATAGCTGATTCACACAAAAATATATCTTAAATCTTTTTAAAAATTATAATTTCTCTCATAAAAAAATGTTATCTATGAAACTAAGAGTATGAAATAAAAATCAATTTATGAATTGACTTATATCTAAATTTTTTATATATTTTTTTTATGTTTTTACAAGTTTTTCTGTTTTTTTTTTATCTTTTTCTTTTAATATTTTTTTTTTAATTTTTAAGTTTTTAAAGGCATAAATTCTTAAAATTAAATATAGTTAACAGTAATGTTTTATGTTTAATCAAATGTATGTGTAATTAAATTATTAAAAATTGGAAATTAAAATGTTTTAAAATATAAATATTATAGTAATTAAAAGCAAAAAAAAAAAATACTTTAAAAATAGTTAATCATGAAACTCAACTACTTGAACCATACATCATAATTTTAAACTTGTAATTTTTTTTAAAACCCTAAGATGCGTATTTTAATAAAATTAACAATTAATAAAATGTAATGTTTTGTTAAGAGAATAACATATAATATAATAATGTATAGTAAATTTCATACAAAATATAAAACTACTAGCAAAAATGTTTCCTTCGTAAGCATTATGTGAAATATGACAATCAATAAATTTAAAATATAGAGTATATAAGTTGTTGTAAAAAATTCATTATATATATAATGTATTAACATATTTTTAAAGCAGATATTTTTTTATGTACAAAAAAAATAATAAGCTAAAATTGGCTTTTAAAAATTAATGCCAATTTATTATAAGGATTATTAGAACTATCAAAAAATCATTTAAAATATGTCAAATATTTAAATGTTTTATAAAGAAGATATTTATAAATATTTCAAATTGTTTAAGTTATAAATGTGTTTACTCAAACTGGTGTGCATGAGTTTGTTGTTGTTGTTGTTGTTTTTCACGTCTATAGTTAGCCGTTTTGGGTGTATTTGCACCAAAAGGTATGCCATTGGCTGGAACGTACTGTGGAGTTGTATTATGCGCTATAATCGGTGGTATAGTTTGATGAATTGCTGGTGGACACCAATACCCCTGCGAATAAGTATATTTTTATCATTTTTCTTCTAAAATAAAATCTATTAAAACTCTCAAACACAAATTAAAAAATAATTATACATATTAATACGATCAGATACTTTTGGAACAAAATTAGATATGCAACAGTATAATATATGAATAACTAATTACAATCAATTTTAAAAATACAATACATTTATAAGTAAGATAAATTGTTTAAATTTATGAGAAAATTAAAACTAAGCATTAAAGAAAATTTTTGATTTTCAATACTTGACTATTAGTATCTGTAGTGCAATTAAGATATTATTTAATTTTTTTTTACTACAATACAAACTTAAAATAATGACAAAAACTAAAATATATTTTATATATTATGTATAAATAATGATACTTTTTCTAATTAATAGTATAATAAAGTAGTTTAATCATTAAACAAAAACATTTACCCATTGTCAAACTACAACATCAAATAAAAATGCACCTTATGCCCCAGTTAAAGTTTACACATTTATTCATCAACGTTACGACTCTATTCAACAAAGTAATAATCTTTAAAATATATTTCTTATTCATTTACTGTTCACTGCAAACTTACCTGAGAACCGGCTACAGGAGGTAATGGAGGACCTCCAGTAACTGGTTGGGTAGGAATCAAAGGACTCAAATTTTGTGCATTATTTACAGTTGGAATATAAATTTGCATATTTGGAGGTTGCGACACAAATTGGTATTGCATTCCACTATCGCTTTCACCTTCGTGAATTGGTGCAATTGGTCCCGTAGCCGTATAATATCCATTGTTAACCATTCCAGGCATTATTGGTGATGGCATCATTTGTATGTTGCCTGTCAATGGTGTACTAGATGGTGGTGCACCTAAGCATGAATTATATTGCCCACCAGCAGCATATGGTTGTTGCATATTAATTGGAACCGGTTGTGAAGATGGTGGTCCGGTATTGTAAGAATTCGATGGTACTGGAATTATCAAAGCGCCAGGTGGTGCTTGAGGAACGCTGTATTGTGGTGATGGAACTACAGAAGTCTTTGCAGATTCACTTTGACAATCAACTGCCAAGTTGTTGGATGCAATATTACTACACGGTGTCTGCATAAATAATTTTTTGTTAACAAACTTTTAACCTCAACTTAAATTAAATATCGTTAGTACAACTAAATTATTAACTAAATTGTTTTATGTAATAAAAATTCATTATTAATTCTACTAATATTACTATAAAAATTTATTACCATAAAGGGTATTTATAATGTTACTCAGTGATTTAAATATGTGTTGTATTGCATCAACGTGTAATATATTTAAATATATAAATATCGAAATAATAAAAGTATGCATTTATAAAAAATTTACCTGATTGTCACTACGATTTTCGTCACCACCGAAACCATTCTGATGATCTACGCCAGTAATAGACAAATTCGTAGGACTATTACGATTTCTATAACGTGTTGAACTTGGTGTATTATACTTCTGTAAATGAACAGCACCGGCATCATATCGCCCATAATTTGATCTGGAACCAAAGCGTTCCTTATTAAGTAAGGGACGCGGTGTAAATCGACGATTTGGGTTTCGCATAGCAAGAAACTGAGATTGATTTGAATACTTGGTCCTCCTAACATTTTCGACGTTACCATTAGCTCTTGATACGCTGTTGTTATTAGAATCATACTTTGTTTCCTTTTAATGTTAGTATAATATAATTATAATATATAAAAAGAAGTTAAATTTAGTTTTACCTCCTTAGATTGATCAGATTTACATTCTATTTTTAAGTTTGATGTTGAAGGCATGAGCTCGTCATCAGTATCACCTGAAAAAAACATATATTCGAACTAAACAAACTAACCGTACTTATATTAATAAAGTTACCCTCAGATTCTTTCGAGATATTATTCTTCATGCGATATTCAACTCCAAGATTAAAAAAATATCTTAACGTAGCAACATCTTGCGGTAAGTCGGCCCCGTTCAAATGGACCGAAGGTCTTGCATTATAATTAATACGACCAATACCTGGTGCAGAACGACTTGGTGGTACAAAATTATTACATACAGAATTTACAGGAGCCATTCCACCTGGTGGAAAGTAACCTGGATTTGGATAATAGTTGTTTCCATAGTAAATACTGCCATTTTGTGGTATAGGTGCACCTATAAATGGTTGAGTTGTTGGATAACCCGCCGGTGGTGGCATATACACTGGATTTGCATAATTTGGATAATTTATCATATAAACGAAAGGAGCTGAGCCAGAGCCGGTTGGTGGATCGAATAAAGAATAACCATAAATTTCCTCTGGCACACCAGTCGAATTTTGACTTTGATAACTGCTTGAAAATTGAGTAGAATATGCACTATCCTCTTCAGTGTTTGTTTGTGGAACAGGGTTAGACGTGTTATAGTCCTGTGCTTCAACTTTGCATGACATTTCACCACTTTCTGCACCACCAGAATTGTTATTACTACCAGTATTGGAAGAATTTGAATCTTCTAACTGAACACCATTAACAGGTTGGTGAACCTTTTCCTTAAAAGTAGGAGTATGCTCTACTGTAAAAGGCATTGCACAATATTCAACGTGCGATCGAAAGTTATCAAGTTTTGAATATTGATTAAATTTAAAAAGATCTTGATAACTATCTTCAGTGTATTCCGCAAAATTTGTGCAATATTCTGACCCGCAAAAATGATTACCTATTCTTATCTTGCACCCAATATGTTTGTAACGATATGGATTATATTTTTGAAAATGACGTTGAAACTTATATGGCAAAGACCAAGGCTTAAACTCATCAGCTGGTAACGGAATCAGTGAGTCGTATGGAACCTAATGCAAATATGTTATATATATTATAATATTTAAAAAAAAAACATACTTACCAATCGTTTCTCTCCAAGCTCCTCAACAAATACAAGACAATTAGCTCTGTTTACTGAAATATCTTGAATATGACAAGTAAAGAGGCGACTTCTATCCAAATTCTCTAACTTCACGTTACACTTTGCGCCTACCTAAAGTAAATATTTTATATTTGTTCAACAGAAATCGCATAAAAATTTCCATAAAAATTGTGCCAAACTAATTACGAAAAATATATATATTTTTATTTATATTTAATGGGCATTAAAATGACATTAACATCAACAATTATAAATTTTACTGAAATGAATATATTCTCACATGCAGAAAACTTAAATGGGGTGAGTAAATATGTAAGAAAACTACAGCTATTTTAGTTAATATCAAACGTCAAGATATAAAATATTACCTTGAAATTGGTATCTCCATTATACCAATTTATTATTTTCAATTCCTTTCTAGCTTCATTCCACGCATCGAATTCTATATTGCGATACATGTTAGGATCAAGTGCCTTAGCAACTTTATACGGAAATGGCGTAATACCTTTCAGAAAAAAAGTTTTTTTAACATCGACATCAATTTAGTGAATTTCTATATTTGTTCTAATTACTCAAATGCCCACTATTAACATTTGTTGCAGTAAAGATACTGCATCTTTATATAATATATTATATATTATTATATATATAATATATAATCCTTGAGCATTAAATATCAAATCTAAATTATTAAGTTCAATTGAAATTTTAAATCGATTAATATATAGTGCAAAATCACTATATATCTGAATATATATAGGTCTGAATTATTTTTTCGTGTATATACCCTCTATCAAAAGTTGGCGTACGCAAGAAACGTATTTATGCGGTAATAACGATTCAGGAGCTTTAGAAAAAATTTTTCCATCAGTTTTTGTGTCCTCTTGAATATCTTCAGTTAAACAATGAAAATAACATAATTTATAATTTTCCAGTATGCATTTCGTATCATTCGGGAGGTCAAAATAAAATACACGTCCATCAGACAGATACAACCGTCGACAGTAGCCGTCATCATTATATTCCGTACGATATGTTAAAGTATCAAACGTAGGTGAATGCAACATTTGTTCTACAGCAAATGGAACATCAGGAAGCTTATATATATACTTATATAAAATTTCATATACAATCGCTAAAATAAAACGAGCAACTTATTAATTTATAAATATAATATGATGAAATATGAGTTACATTGGCATATAGCGGCGTCCTTTATATAATCGCAAGTAAAAACAGAATCAAAATGACGTTCAGGAGTATAAAATATACGAAACGTATCCTCATAACAAGGTCTTGTTATAAAATAATTACCCAAATTAAACGCTTCAAAAAGAACTACATTACGCCTACGAATAAAAATATTTCAATAACAATCACAATACTATTAGCAAGCTATGAACAACTTACTGGTACATATAACCCACTGCTTGTAGTTCAATCATTGTTCCATATGTTCTTGGCTTGGACATATCATCAAGATATTCGTCCAAATCTCGATCTACGAGCTATTCAAACTTAAACTTTATAATGAATAAAATAGGTAGAAAAACGGAATGCTCACCGGTTGAAAGAATGATCTATGTTTTCTCATATATGCTACGCATTTCTTGCGTATGGTTAAATGGTGCTTTTGGGTATCATACATCTGTTCTGATATCACGCGAAACAAGCACGATGCATCCCGAGCAGTGTGCTTACGATAATAATTGTGTTGTTCCAAAAATTGATCAAACGGATCAGGTGCTTGGCGACTTCCCGAAGTGAACTGACGTTGCATTTTTTATTATAACTAAATTGAGTTCTATTTTATTTTTAAATTATAATTCCCCATAATAAACAAAAATTTATGTTGATCATTGTATTTAATATTTAATATTTATGTATCAGATTAAGTGGTTTTGAAATAAAAAGATTGTCCATCTTTTGACGGTAAACATGCTCAAAACATACTCATAGTAGATACATAATTAGTAGCTTTAAACAACAATACTTATTAAAAATATATATAATATGCATACAAATATAATTATATATATTTCTACCTACTCAATTTATACATTAATTAATTAATACTTAATTTATTACCTCATTTTTTTATTACTTTATTTATTTGTTATTTTATTTATATAAATAAGTACATAATATATATTTATCTATACTTATATACAAACATACAAATATGTTTATTTATAAATGCAAAAAAAATATTTATACATAAATTCTGATATATACATATGTATATACAGAAGTAATGATTTGCTTACATTAGAGATTTTTTTCTATATACTTTTCATTGTAATTTCTATAATATATATAAATATAATTTGTATATTTAATACACATAAGCAGTATAAACTTAATAGTAAAAATTATTTGCTTGAATATTATAATCGTTTTTAATTTTTTATAAATATATTTTTGATAATTATTGCATCAAAAATTTTTATAAATATATTTTTGATAATTATTGCACTCGTATTACTCTTAAATTTGCCATTTTTCCCCAAAAAATAATGCTAACAAACTTATAAACATATATTTTGATTATAGCAACAAATAACTGGACACTATTTCCAATATTAAACAAACAACGAAAGTAATTCCACAATAAAACATAAAGTTCAACGAACACAACTGTACTTTTGCAAAAACCGAAAAGAGGAAAAAAAACAGACTGGGGGATCATTCAAGGTACACGAAAGCAAATACATACACATACACATTCACGTACATCAATTTCAGTTAAATTCAAAGAAACTTCAAAGGGTAACCAAAAATTTACTGTTAGATTTCTTACATAAATACGAAGCGCCTATTAGCTGATTTTTAAGAATTTTATTAAGTAGTTATTTAAGATTTTGCGTATATATACATCTCTATAATCTATACAAATCAAATAATATATATATAAAAGTTTATAAAAAAAAACGAAAATTTTATATGTAATTCATTTCTTTTTTTTAAATTTTTGAAAAAAAACTTGTAATTCGTCATTTTCAACTTATAAAAGTATAAATTCAATATTGTTGCGTATATTAAATGTACTTACCAATTTACAAATTATATACAGCGTAAAAATTGACTTAATTAGAGTTTAACTAATTAATTTTTATAAGTTATGTATTTAATAAAACTAAGAGAACACAAAACAATTTCTGACGCACCGAAATCGACTAACCGCTTTAAAAGGAAGAAACGAAATGAGCAGGTTGCAATCAAATTATTTTCTACTCCTTTCCTTTTCATATAAGATTTTGAAAGCAGTAGAAAAAAGTGCATGCACTGAGAAAAATTATTAAAACTAATGGCGTAACTATTGTACACAATCAAATTCGCTTATATAAAAAATTTTTGCTACTGATAACTAAAAGAAATGTATGATATTATTATATTGCTAATGTTATTTAAAAATTGTTACTATATTTAACCTTATAGATATCAATTGTAACATTAACTATAACAATATATCAATAGAGGTATATGGACACTGCTCGTGTTCGGTAAAGCGATACACTATGAAATTCTAAAAGCATTTTTAGAAAAAAGTATTAATAAACGTTTGAATCACCTAATTTAATTCATTTGTTTGTTCTCATTCGAAATTTATGGTAAACTAATTCAGCTGTAGTTTTAGCGCATTACGAAAAATGTTGTTACACCTAATACCATGCCTCCACTGCTTACTTAGTATATAACTTTAAGATTAATAACTTTAAGATTTTGTTGTTTCCATTGACATAACTTACTTATTCCATGGGAAAGAACTTTTATGTGTCAGAAAGTTCTTTCAAGGTTTCAAGAGGGCTTCTGTTTGTTTAGAAAAACTGCACTCAATAATATATAACACAAAAAATTATATATATATTTGATATATTTAATCAATTATATATATATATTATAAACCTATTACATATTCAATAATAAAAAACAAAAATTTTATTAAGTACTCATTTTCTCAGCACGTTTGTTTACAGCTCAGCTGTTCTTTGTTTACATTTTAATATAAAACATATGACGAATATTTCACATGTTGATAATTTCCCTTGCAGACAACTTGATTTTAAAAGTTGCATTCGACATTTTTCACCTTAAATGAGCTAATTTATTGATGATTTATTATTGATTTACATGATTTTTATATAATAAATCGTCCTCTTTAGTGGCTATAATAAGCAAAACCGCTTAAATGTTATAGCGGTTGTTATATAATATTCGTTATTTCGATTTAAATTATATCTCCAAGCTTTAATATATTTTATTGTAACTAATATCATTTTATTGTATGATGAATCATAATTTTGTGATGAAATTTAAATTTGTATATTTTAGAAGACACAAATATTTTTATTATTACAAACACTAAGTGATGTTATACTTTTCAGATAGTTTTAATTTAAGAAGTATTTTAATATTTGATCCTTTTAATTTCTTTACAAAAACTAAAAAAATAGAAAAATATTTACACAAATTTACACAAATATTTACACAAAAACATGTGTTAAGTTTGTTTTTTGAATTATTTTATTGAGACCTTTCGAATTATAGTGAATTGTAATAACAAAATTTTTATTTATTTGTAATTAATCAAATTTTTGGCTGCCCATACAGCTGTTTCAAATATTGCATAAATACCACTCTTTATTACTGACCTTAAAATCAAATTAAATATGAAACTATTTTTGAAATATTGTTACCGTGTGTGGCGAAAGGATTGGTCATGTGTTGTTAATGTACTCTACAGCGCCAAACCTTATAAACAAAATAAGGATAAAGTTTATGGACGTTTTAATATCCAAGAGTTTTAATTTGTGAACGTTCACTGCATTGAGCATATACGAGAAGTTGCTCTAATATTAGCTTTTCTATATATAGCATAAATTGCGTACAGTATAAATGTTATGTTCAAACCTACATTTTATTTGTTATGATATATACTGTGTACACAGTACACAGTAAAGATGTTGCAACCAAAGTGAAAACTTGCATCTTTGTAACACTTTTTTTAATAACTATTCTAATTTTTTGATTTGGTAGCACTAATTACTGGATTGCTTTTCCACTCTTTTTCCTTCTTTGATTCTGTCATTTTATCATTATTTTAAATATAATAAGTTTTAATACTAAACTTTATGTAATTAATAAGAATTTATAAAATGCCAAAAATGTACATATGTAACCATACGAGCTTAACTTATTTGTTATAGTTAATTTTATATTATATACATAACATATATATGTATGTATTTATTTACTCGTTTTATATGTTAATAATATATGCATATTCTTAGAAACTGCGATGCTACATTTATGTATATACATACATATGTTGTAAATAAATAAATAGATTTCATTAATCTATTTCTATTAAATGCTTTATTTTGTTTGTAATTTTTAGGTATATTTAGTACCTTTTTACTAAATAAAAATTTCGCCATATTAGAAATAAAATTTTATTCACATTATATAAATGTTATTTTAAATGTTTTGTCTCGTTTTAATACCATTATTTTATAAATATGCATGTATAAATGTTCTTTCATTGAAAAGGTTTAAATATTTCAAAGTGCAATATTTAAGTTTTACGTTAAGTGCATAACATGTCAATATGGCAGTCGGTTTTGTTTTATTTTATTATTTAAACAAGACTGTTTTAAAAGTTACATATGTATATGAAAATTTTTTATGGATTTCTGTATATACGGTATCATATTGTTATAAAATTAGAAATAAACATCCATTTCTGTTTGAAACTTAAATAATCTAATTTCTAGTATTGTTAAACAAATATGGACCGGTAATGGTTATACATATGTACATGTGCACATATGATTTTAAAATGGCTATCATAATAACGTTTATTATTATTTATTTGACATTATATAAACTTTATTAAATTTTTTTAAAAATATGCATTACGAAGTTTCAGCAAATAGTCCATTTACCATTCAATTTATTTTATATTATGAAAAATAAAGCAAAAACCCTACAAAATCTATTATCCTGTTTTAATATTAAAGCTTACATTCACAATTACATCGTTAAAATACAATCCTTACAACAATTATATGTAAAAATGAATGTAAAAAGAAATAAATAAAAATAATTTAAACTTTCTTGAACGTACGTAAAAATAAGAAAATTATATTTTTATTACTATTAAAATTTGAATAAATTGTACAGATATATAGAAAAATAATGGATTTTAATTGTATAAATCTAGAAGGCATATACAGTGGACTTCACACATTAAAATTATCTCCAAGCTATTACAAAATAATACAAAGCAAAGTTGGTTTTCGCCTTTGTCTTTTCCTTTTTCTTTCTGCCTGTATAGCTTGGGATAAAGTGTAATGCACAAAAAACTCATACATATATCAACTGTTTTATATTCTTCTCAGATAATGTAAAAGTGAGATATTAATATAATTAACAAAATATTTGAAATTCAGTAAAGATGAAATTGAAAATTTATGAAGTTTACATACATATACATATGTACAAATATGTGTTGATCAGCTTATTGCTGTGGAAGTCAGGTTATACATCTACTAAGTGTTGTAAGCGAAAATTAGCAATTAATTGACTAAATTGTTAAGTTTCACATTTGAGCGATAGTTTAGCGAACACTTCTTTAGTAAGCATGCATACGTAATTAATAAATATGTTAACAGGAGAACTGCACTTTGAAGATTTCTAATTATACATATTCATAAAGTTAATAAATGAGTGCAAAGTAAATAAAGAAGTAATCCTTTAAATTGATAATAATTATTTACATTATCTAGTATAATTTTTGTTATTAATTAAATATAACTAATTATTATGTACAGAAATATTACACATGCGTATAACACAATATATAGTAATTGTTTAAAATCGAAGATTATCATATTAGTGTTGTACAAAGATATATCTCTAATTCTCGATTTTAAAATATCTAAAACAAACAAAATAGTATTGAAATTTAACAACGAAAAATAAAAATATAATTAATTAATTTAATTATTCTACAGCTGTTTATGATTTCGTTCTAATATAATATTCAGCAAGAGAATTTGTTAATAAAACTTTCAGAATTTCAAATTTAGCAGGACACGAGTTCGATACCTGGTACTTGCAGTCTCAAAAAATTATTTAAGAATAATTAAATATTTGGTATTTGGCAATATTCGAAACAGCTGTATGGTCAGCCAAAAATTCAGTTATTTAAAAAAATATAAAATGAATTTTTGTTGTTGTAGTTCGAAAAATTTCTTTACAGAGGTTTTTTTTTTGTTTTTGTTTCAAAAAACAGAACAAAAACTTAAAATACTAAAAGTATGCTACATATAATTGATATTTGTAATATAATTTATATTAATAATTTTAATCACAATTAAATGATAAATCTGTGCAGCCACACGAACACTTTAGAATTCAATACAGCTTTCTCAAAAGAACCATATATGTATTTATATACAGCGTTAAACGAAAGTAATCTGATCGGTACATTTTTTAACACATGTATTTAAATTACGTAGTAACGAAATTAGTAAACCATTATTACTGAATAGTTTATAACTAAACTATTATATTATATCTTTATCTAGTTCATTGAATATAATATATTTCATTTGTAAAAAATGAAAATCTAAGATAAATAAATTGATTAATAAAATAGTTTTTTAAATAATAATTCGTACATAAAATGGTGTCATATATTTATGATGCTTCAGTTTTATCTCACCCAAGCTCTGCGCAAGGGATTATTTTTATATCGGACATATAAACTGCAGCTTTATAAATGTCCGTAATTATTAAGTTAATATTAATATATATATAAATTAAATTTTGCACATATATAATATATTAATCTTTTATACACTTACAAATGATAACTAAAATTTTTATTAATAATATAAAAAGGCTATTATAAAGTTTATTTTATAAATGATACGGTTGTTCTTAGATTGATGGGTATGAATGTGATAACCATTTCCCAATCAGTTTTCTAAACTCTTTGAATTAACTGTGATTATTCTATTCTTCTAAAAACAATTTATTTTATATAATAACTATTATTTTAATATATTTATTCTTATTTTATGATATCTTAACAAATAATAAAAAAAATTATTTTTTAATGAGTATTTATGGTATGTTCCACACTTAATCGATTTTAATTTTTTCGACAAATGTTTGAGGTTTATTATTATAAAGTTAAAGCAGGA